GACTGGCCTAGGGCAATTTTTAAGAGGGGTTTTTAGAGGGGTTTTAATCATATTTTAATCTGACAATTTAAATATTTCATTTTAATTAATTTTAATTTTGTAATTGTTATTGGTGTTTTTAATCGATTGTCAGCCGCCCTGAGTCCGCAAGGAGAAGGGCGGGATATAAATTCGAATAATAAATAAATAAATAAATAAACAGCAATAACAGCAACAGCAATCACACTGACAATAACAAAAAAAATACATTTACCACCTAATTCTTACAATTTACAATTCTACATTTTCAGTTTCTAATGGTGTGACTTCTGTCTCAGTTATTGGTTTTATTTGTAACAAACCACTTTTACTTCTCTCATGATCATCACCAACACCTTTGTTCTTCATCTGGGGTCACCTGAAATTCTAATAGAGATATTCAAAATAGGTATGGGTTCTGGTCCACTACCCATTCAAGTCCTTTTAAACGTGGCTTTCAGTCCTTGTCCTGGAATGACCATCCAGCCTCTTTCAGGTACAGTAACCACCTTCGTTCGTGTGTAGTGAATCCAACCCTTCTCAGCTCTCCGGAGAGCAGATTCAATATAAGGAACTTCCCTTCTTTGGTTGTAGAAATTCCTCCTTCTATTTATGAATCAGCACCCACTGTCCCGGCTGGATCTTATAGACTGGAAATTCCAAAGGAGCTGTTTACGCCACCAAGCCTTCCTGTTAAAGAGAAGACAGAGACCCCAGTACTTGTTCCACATATAGCTATTGGTATCTCTCCTTTGGGAGCCTTAACCCTTTATTCAGGGCTTTTTTTGTCATAGAACTCCCAGAACAGAGTTCTGGCACCTTTTTTGGATGGAACTTTGTAAGGTAGGCAAGGCAGGTTGTATGACATGTGTGAGTTCCAGCACCTTCCCCCCCCCAAAAAAGCACTGCCTTTATTACATATCAAACATCCCTCTGTAGCCCTTTGGGCTATCCCATACATTCCAAGGGTACCATAGAATTTCAAATACATTTCTACGTATGCTTTAATTCTGGAATGACTCCCTTCATATAGTTTTTGGATCATTCTTGCAATAATAATAATAATAATAATAATAATAATAATAATAATAATAATAATAATAATAATAATAATAATAATAATAATAATAATAATAATAATAATAATAATAATAATAATAATAATAAAGTTGGAAGGGACCTTGGAAGTCATCGAGTCCAACCCCCTGCTCAGGCAGGAACCCTACACCATTTCAGACAAATGGCTGTCCAGTCTCTTCTTAAATACCACAGAGTTCCCTTAATACCATTTTTATTGTTTGATAATTATAAATCTACTATAGCCTCAATCCTTTTACTATCTATTTTCCTTTCCCCTTCAACTATACTATATCCTAGATATTTTACCTCCTTTCATACCACTTGGGCTTTGTTTGCTAAACACCCTCAATCCTTTCTTCTGCCAAAAAGTTGCTTTCCCATTTCTTGATAATTCCCAGAATAAGATTTTACAAAACTGGGAAGCTACATAAGAATGTATTTGCTTCCACAGCTTAAAAGTGGAGGAAAGAAAAAAAAAGAAAAAGCATTTGTCCTTTGTCAGATAGACTATACTTGTCCATGGAAGCTCTATCAAAAATTGTGAAATT